ACCTTTATTTTGAGGCCAATTCCTATAACTTTTAATATTCTAAATGCAAGCTGAGCACATTTGTCATACAATCCTTCAAGGGAYRGYTTCATGTCTGGTACAGTAGATGTTGGCCATTTCTAAGGGGAAAAACACTATAAATGGTATAGGGTTTCAGAGGATGTGATTCTKGGCTTCTGAGGATGTGATTTGTAACACTTACTGAATGTTCTACTTCGACATTGAAAGCTTCTTTCAAATCAGCTGGTCTATCTGGGTTTAGACTGAGACAGAAACAGTAAATTATGAAGAAAATAATTAATGCATGAGAGCGGGGGAAAATTGTTGTTGATTTATAAAGCAATAGTGTGTTTACTCAGTCGACACAATTCAAGAACTCATCAAAAACACTCTAAAATACCCCCCCCCCTCCCCCCAAATAGTCACAAAAGTCAATCAGAAAGCCCTGAATAATTTTTAATATATTTAAATGTTTGATTTTCAAAAGTTTTACAAAAGAATGTTAATGTTTTTGAGCTGAGCACTCTTGAATCTATTAAAAAAAGGCTGCAAAGCTAAGAATTAGGATTTCACTGAATCATACATAATCTAGTCATAGTAAGCCAGTGATATCATGCCATAATACAAAGTCACAAGGCTATAATTACCCGTAGGATGGGGGAGGGGGGTTCGGGGTTGCCCCACCTGTAAGGAAGCCTACGGGCCTGTATARAGAGTGACTTCCTTCTTCAATGMTGGMTAAACKTATGTAGATTCATATTACACAAATACCTTTCTCTTTCAAGAGCTACCCAGCCATGGTTAGTACCGTGACTGTCCCTTGCACATTTGGCTTTTTCTTCAACAGGCAAAGCAAAGAACGTGTCTGAAACTTGTCTAACTTTAGCAATCTATGAGTTGTAGATTGAAATATTATAATTATTGTTGCATAATGCCGGCACTCGGAGATACAGATTTTCAAGCGTTGAAAAGATCTCTCACAAGTGAGGGACTGCATGAGTGCAAGATTTTCAACACGAGAAGATATTTGTTTTCTTACTTCCACTATAACCTTGAGAAATGGAGAAACGAAAATCGAGATATTTCATTGATAATTATAAGCTTATGATAAAATGCAATATTGCTAAATACAGTTAATACAAACATAATACTAATAATAATTATAATCATAATCATATTTCATAAGCTTAATAACTTTAGCTAATCTTTGTAATCTAATAACTTAATAACTTACTTAAGTTACTGACATACACAAACATCACACACTTTAATTCATGCAATGAATAGGATAAAAGAAAATCAACATAGYTTAAATAAKATYAATTAAATTAATTCAATACGCAAAGAAATCATCAAACTCTTGAGCCAATTTTCGTGATATTTGATCGAGAAGTAGCTTAAAATAAAGCTTAACTATAACTTAACTTTAAAAACAAACCTCGTCGTCGCTGATACCATGGTTCTTTAAATACACAAATCCAATACTGCTGAACGCTTTGCAAATTTGAGAAGCTATTTTCTGCACTCTCACGTCTGAATCACTTGGAATTTCATCATTACAAAGGCCCATTACACTAAAATCGACTATAGGAATGGACAACTTCTCGTCAGCCATTTTGAGAACACAGGAGTCCCATAAAGTATCACTACGCACCACAGGAAGCCAGAACGTTTTGATCACTGATGGTACTTTTGGTACAGAAAATAACAAGGGAAAGTCAACAACTGTGTGTCTTCGGATCTTACGGTTTTGTTTTTCTCGCCGAATTAATTTGACTGCACCGAAAGTTAATGTTCCATAGCTTAACTAATTTTTGTATACGAAAGAGTGTCTCAAAATCAGTCACACGAGATTTTTAAATTAATAAATTAATAAATTAATAAATTAAATGAATTAATACATTAATAAATTAATACATTAAATGAATTAATAAATTAATAGATTAATAAATTAATAAATAAATTATTTTTTTTAATTTTTAATTTTTAAAAAACATTTTTACAGATTTGCAATAATTACCAGGATGATTTTGTTCCTGCCAAAGGTTTTTATAAAAATTAGGTAACACCTAATAGCCGAGCTCCAATATTGGTAAACAACAATTGATGGTTTTAGTTTGTACTCTACAAAGACCCTGACAAGCAAAACAACATTTCTTGGTTCCCTGGTCCCCGATGTCTTTAGACCTCGGGTATTACCTGAATGGCTTATTGTCTGCCATTCAGAGGGAGTCACCGAGTGACCAGCTCGACTCATTGTTGCCAGGGTATTTTTTCGAAGCCTTCTATCAACCATTAATATTTTTAAGCACATAGATAGGTTAAATCAACATAATTATTTGGACCACAAAGGTCCAAAATGATAAATTGATATTGTCAGTCTTAAAGGGCTACTCGGACGAAAACTGCGAAACATTAGACAAGACTAGGAAATCAAATACAATTATCCATATGGGTTTACTAATCAATGAAGCAACAGATGTCTGCAAGAAAATATTTTTTTGACACAAATCCTTAATAATTTGGGCAAAAAATATTGGAGTAGATGACGTCATTTACTCCATCCTTTTTTTTTCTTCCATCCAGTTTGAATCAAAATTTCTCTGATAAGGGATAATTCCAAAACAAAATTTTTCCCGCAATTGTTTTTGATAGATATTATAAATGAGTCATATAATATTTGTATTGTTTGAAGTTTTGAAATAAGGACATTTTCATGCAAAATAGCACTTTAAACATTTTTTCAACCACATAGGATGAAATCAACATTTTAGACCACATAGGTCTATGTAACTAGATCTCGACGCCGAATGGGCTCTTAGCTTGTAGTCCACGAGGGCGAGAGATCTAATTACGTGGGCTTCCTGTATGCAACTGGCGATTTCGTCGTGGTCGTCGTGGTGGTGAATATTACGCTTCAAATTGGTAGCGCATCGATAGCGCATGCGTTGCAGTCTCAGTTTCCATGGGGATGTCGAAGTAAAATCAATCAGCGCTTTCTTTTCATTCATGACATGTATTGTTTCGTATGTCATTCGGCCTCGTGGTCTTATCGCGATATCTAAGTCACGTTATAGCTACTGTGACCTGGTTTGTGACCAAGAAAAGCAATGTGATCAAGAAAATGAAGGAAACCAACCCTAGAACGCTGATCTCAAAGCTCTTACTACTTCTTGAATCATTCAAACGATCAAAATATTACTCAAAGTTATAATACTTAGAAAACTGCAAAGACTGTACCGTTTCTATTG